GACTCCCACATGGCCAACCGTGGTTCGAGTCCCGGACCTGGTGGCTTGCCTTCTCACTTCCTCTCTCTCTCTACTCAAATTAAAATAAATTAATTAAATTAAATAATTCTTTTTTAAAAATTCCTGATGTTGGGGCCAGCAGGTGGTGTGGTAGATAAGGGTGCTGGACTCCCACATGGCCAACCACGGTTCGAGTCTCGGACCTGGTGGCTTGCTTTCTCACTTCCCCTCTCTTACTCTCTCTCACTCACTGTTTGTCTTTCTGGTCAAATTTAAAAAATAAAATGAATGAATAAATAAAATTAAATAAATAATTTTTAAAAATTACTGATGTTAATGTCCCCAATTGGAAGAAAAAAATTCAAATGGTAAAATGGCACGTGCTAAAAATAAGCCAGTCTCTGCTGGATCAACCACAGCCAAAGGGACCTCTGAAGACTGACCTCCGCCATCTGAGTCATTACAACCCCATTTTTCAAAAGAAGAATAAAAAGATTCTCAGAGAGATTAAGTGGTTTGCTTAAGGCTACAAAGGTTACTATGCTAATTAGAGGAGTTTCCGAGAAATACCTAGGCTTGATCCCCAAAACATGCCCAAACCAACTAACAGAAATCTTGCAAAATGAGTACTAACATGACATTTATCAGGTGGCCACCTGGAGAGTCGCAGTGGCCACCCCACAAAGCAGAGATCTGCAGAGGTCAGAAGTGAGAGAGACGTGCTGGCAGAAGAACGGACCATAGCCTAAGGACGGGCCTCTGGAAACGGGAATCTGCTACAGGGGCAATACCCGCACACCCCAGCAGATGGATGCTTCCCGGAATGTGATGTCCCGACATAAAGTCACAAAGTGAAAAAGAATGCAAAAGACGTTCCTCTCAATCAGCCTTTCACACAGAAGCAAGGAGCGAGCCAAAGGAGCCAAACAGAAAACGGAACTCCGTGGCAATCCGCAGCAAAAGTAGCTTTAATACAAAAGAAAGGGAAATGCATACCCACGGAGACCATGGAACCAGCATGCCACAAATGCAGGCGGTCACAATGATGGGCACATTACTTAAGCATCTCGCTAACAGGGAGTAGTTGGAAAACGTTCATGTCTATAGCCAGAAATCCAGAAAAATTCAAACCGAACTGTTCAGAGGTGTCTCCCCTAGGCAGTAATAGTAGGGTAAGGAGGGACCAACAGATGGTGTAATGGTTCCATTGCTGGACTCTCAAAGAGTTGACCACAGTTCGAGTCCCGGACTCGGTGGCTTAAAACTCACACTGGTGCTTGTGCATGCATGCCCACGATCCCAAGAGAATGGAGAAGGGATTGCAGCAGCCATTCTCCCAGGGGATAATTTCTTGCTTTCTGTCTTGCCAGAAAGCATGTGCCCTATAGCAAAATGCTCTCTAAGAAAAAAAAAAAAAAAAAAAGAGTGGGGGAAGGAAAAGGAATTCATAAACGGAGTGTGGTGAGAATTTGTACTCTTTTTTGTATAATGTCTTCTGGATTTATTGTTTAACTTTTACATGCATTATTTTTTTACTTAAAAATTTAAAAAATATTGTATTATTTAAAATTGAAAAAGAAAAGGAAAAAAGCCTGTTGTGTTGGGGGAATTATAAAACTTTAATGGTGGGTGAGGTCTCTGAGGTCCAGGTAGTCTCAGTTGGATTTAGCCTCTCAGCCCATCTGTCAGTGGAGTTCATGGAGATTGGCCACCTCTGGCTCACAAGCACACGGCCTTAAGATTCTAAGCTGGTTCCTAGAACCTGATGCACCCCAAGAATGTGACACATCAAATAAGCATTGTGGCTTTCATAATCTACTGGTGCTCTGCTAAATACCCACCACAGCCATGTAGCAGAACCTCGCAGACCCAGGATCCTACCGGTTCGTACTGGTCCTGAGTAATTCAACAGTCAGCCTCAGACGGGGTTCAAACACAGCAGACTTGAGGCCACCGAAAAGCAGTGGGTTGTCAGAACAGCTCCCGCCCACAGCGTGGCTGTGGTCTAATGAGGCTTGGACTGGATGGAGTGTCCTTACGAGCTTCACCATGAACATGTCCATCACCATGGCACGTCCTTCGCGACTATCCGTCTTACCGTCTTAGGGTTTGAGATGAGCTGTTCACCGCTCTGACGTGGCTGTTTTATATACTCAAGAGGAAACGTGTCTACACATTTCTGTTAACACAGGGACTGTCATTGGTGCCACCTTGGTCTTC